TAGCAAAGCGAGGGATCATCGAAGCTGGCTTTAATTTTTCTAGGCGAAGTCTAACGAGCAGCCGAATCGGGAAGAGATCTACGCTAAAGTTGTCGAAGTACTACAGCCAGAAGTCAATAAGCTTTTGCAGTTCATGTATTTCCAGGTCATTATTTGTCATACGTGATGGCGTTGGTTTTGTAATATGCGTGAGTCGTTTTAGAACAAGGCAGTAAAGCGGTTCTGCGAAGAGGTCAAGAGATTATGTCATGTCGAGAAACGCAGGGACTTCGTCAGCGAGGCATATTTACTGGCTTTGGGAAAGATGATCAATATGTTTTCAGTTTTGGATGAGTTGAAGAACATGAAGGCGTCGATCAAGAACGATTACTCGACTTATCGCCGGTGGGCCTGTCGACTATTAGTATTTTTTATTGCCAATGAACCGCCATCGTTTGACTGTGCTGTGATTATGTCTACCTTTGGGGCTGTCGGTTGATAACTGTTTCTAACGCGCTTCGCCATTTAGCCAAAATTTACCATTAGAGCTCATCGCTTTTCGTATTTCTTTCTTATCCCTGGAATATTTTTCTGCTCTGCCTTTTCCCACCTCACGGACATTCTGGGGTTGGTTAATGCCTGCCTATTACACAGTTCAGTCTGCTACAGCTCTACAGTCCGTAAACCAATACGAGATGCGTAAGATGATCAATTTGTACTCTTGTAATATCTGTGGACTTCGACCGATGTTGACTTTTTCATTGTATTCCTCTTCCTCGGTGTTGAATTGTGATCTTTCTTTTTCTTATCGTGTTTTCTTTACAGGGGTTCGCTTAATCAAGTTAATTGCCTCCACGTTTTTCGGACTTTGGTTAAGTCTTCTGTCACTTCTCGAAGTTTCATATTGTTCTTGAAGACATCGCACCACCTTTACTCTGGTCTTCCCATTCTTTTTCTCCTGGCATGTCTCAGTGTTTAGGCAGCCATTCCAGTGTACTCGATAGGTTTACTTTTCACGTTACCCGCGGAATTTACTTTCGATAGACTTTTCTGCAACTGGTGCCACGCCTTTATTGCCTCATATGAAGCTGTTTCGAATGTGGTTCTTTTTCCTTACACCACAAATCCATCTGAGCACTTGCATTTGTACCAAGTTCAGCTGTTGCCCGTGTTTTTTCAAGATAGCCAAACATTCTGCTTCGTACAGAAGCACCAGTCTTATCGTTCTGTACACCTTCCCTTTCAGTCTGATGGGTATCTTCTGGTCACACAGTACTGCGCTCACTTCTCTCCGCTTGAGCTAACGTCTTTTCGACTGATTTTTTTTATCTCGCTATCGATTTCCGCATTTTCTTGCAAGATGGAGCCATAGTACTTGAATTCCTGGATTTGAGGCAGTAGCTCCCCGCTCCTGTCACTGGTTTGGCGGTTTTCAGTCTGTTGTCCCCGCTGAAATGGCCCGCCGTGTATTCTGACTTGCTTTTGCTGAGTCGAAGGCTGTTCTTCTCAAGGCTGTGTTTTATTCCCTGGTTTTTGCTGCTAAAGTTTCTCTGCTTTCGCTGTACAGCACGGTGTCATCTATGTAGAGCATGCAGTATGGGTCTGCTTCCTGCATATCCTTAATTATAGCGTCTGTCGCCATCGAAAACAAAAACAGATTTAGTGCAGATCTTTGGTTGACTGCTACCTGCACAAGGGACTCTTCTGTTTTTCTGCATGTACTTCGAACTATCGTTGTCACACAAGCCGGTAAACCTGACATTTCTTTGGTAAGCCTGACATTTTTCTGCACCAGCTTCTTTCTCATGCTTCACCAGATCGCTTGCCTCGGGATTCGATCATATGGCCTTGACACCACGTGAATGTCTTATCTGCCTTCTGCGCGTGTTCAAGGGCTGTTAAAGCAAAGATGGCATTCGCCATTGACTGACCTGGCATGAAACCAAATTGGTTCACGGTGATGTCGAACATCATCACATATTGCTTCATGGTGTGAATAATCAGTTAATTCTCCGGGAGTTTTCACAGGCGAGCATATACCCTTTCATTTTTTACACTGGCATCACAATACTGTGCTCCATGATTCCGGAATTTTCTCACATTCCAAAATTTTTTTTTGTATAGCGCAGAGCCAAGCCACGCCGTCTTGCCCCTGTGCCTTCCACTCCGTCCAGATCAAGGGTTTTTTATTTTTCATTCGCTCAAGGCTTATTCCACTTCATCTAGTGAGAACTTTTCCACTAGATCCTGTTTTCGTGGGATCTTTTCCGGGGCCTTCCTGAAACGTTCTTCGTTTAATAGCGTTTGGAAGTGCTTTCGCCATCTGTTGGAAACATTTTTCTATGGTCAGTACCTATCCTTTTTCGTCGTTTATGAACTTCACTTTACCGACATGTCTTTTTCTTTCTCTTTTTGGCTTTTGCCGTGCAATAGATGTCTTTTTCCCTTTCCTTGGTTACCAGATTTCCATATAACGTGTTGTACGTTGTTGACTTTGTTTTGGCAACGACTTTCTTTGCCTCCCTCTTTGATATGGCATGCTTTACTCTGTCTTTCGCGCTGTTTAACAGCTGCTGTTTCGTAAACAGTTTTCTCTTCTGTCGTGGGATCGCTTGCACGTCCATATTCAGCCATCTCGTTTCTTTCTGGATAGTTTGTTGTGCCTTTGGTTACTCCAACTGTGTCTGGAATTCTATATGATTGTGCTGGTCATCCGCTCCCATACTTCATTCACTTTCCTGTTCTCGTATTATTTCGTCGTTTTCTCGTACTTTCCTATTTGAACGCTTTTTTCAGCTTCTCTTCGGGCTTCCATCATTGTATCTGCGAGGATGTCGCCATGTCCACCGTCTGAATGGACCGTTTTAGAGAGAGGCCTAAGGCCAATAACTGGTGCTGGCTTGTGGTAGTTTCCCCAGGAATAACCTTGCAGTCTCTGACATTCAGTTAGTTCCGTCGCAGCAGGAAGTAGTCGATCTGGCTTTTCTTCTACCCCCTCTTGTAAGTTAGCAGGTGGCTTTCGCTTTTCTGAAAGAACGTGTGTATCAGAGCCAGGTCATATCCAGTTGCTATCTGCAGGATGTTCTTTCCTTCTTTATTCAACATGCCATGTCCATATCCACCAAGCATCCCGTTGTAACCCCTTCGCTCTTTCCCGACGTGCCAGTTAAAATCACACACGATTACCACTTTTTCGTTTCGCGGTATGTTTAACAATTCAGTGTATAGGCGTTTTTCCAGAATGCCGACTTTTCAGCTTCATTCTGGACAGTCTGAGATGCGTAGGCACCTTAAGATGCAACTTTCTAAAGTCAGCTTAACGCTACTGACTTGAACGTTAATTCTGTTGACTTCGAATACCTTGTCTTTGGTAGCTTCATTCGGTGCCAGACCAATTCCGTTTCCTCTGCTTGATGTTCCGCAGTAAATGAGTTTATCGCCTAGCGCTAGCCTAACTGACGTGTCGTCCTTTTGCTGTTGCATATAGTTACTAACACTTTGGAGCTTCTCAATATGCGAATTTTCCATTAGATCTTGAAGTGAAGTAACCAAACAAACAGGATCTAAATGGTAATCGCGCCTTTGCAAAATATCGAAAGAGATTATAATTTGGAAAAAATGGAGTTTATTTAATTAACGTTATTAGAAAGTGCCTATTATTTGTTGAAATTATTTTGCACGGGGCGGAGAACGTGCAAGATCGGCGGTAAGTAATTATTTTTTTTGAGCGCTTCAGGAACATTTTCTTATAATATTTTCTCATTTTACACACGGGTTTTTTTGAAAATAGTTCATCACTAAAGATTAACAAAGGGGATTGCCGTCGGGTTGACGAATGCTGTATTTTGCGATTGCGACGAGGTTTCTGTTTTTCAGAGCGATGACGACATGTGCACGCTTGGGCTATGCTTTTATTCCCGTCTTTCAGTGTGTGCACTATCTGAGTGACAGTAAGTAGATTTTTTCTCTGATTCTCTGTCTTGCCTGTCAGTCGTCATCCTGGTCTTTAATTGTTTTTTCTCTCTCCATAAGTCGTCATTCTCTGCTTGGAAAATGGACCGCATCGTATGATCAAGACAATATCGTTTTCTTCAGTAATCAATAAAAACGGTAGCTCGCGATCTTTCCGTTCCGTTTCTTATATCAGATGTTTTATCAAATTTGTGAGCTAATTACACACCATATGCATCGATAATGTAACATTTCAACTTCTGCGTAATTTAATTGAAGTTTTAGTCATTTCGGTTACGTGCAGTTGCTTTTTTGATGCGGATTTTTTTGCAGGGCGACACAGTTTCTTCAAGTAATGTCGGATAGCCACACGTTGCAAGAGTCACAGAACTTATCGATGTTTCTCGCGACGCAAAACAAGATCAAAGAGAGCCTGCGAACTCAGCTGCAACAGATCGACAATTTCGAGGAACTAATCGCTGATGTAGTGAATATATCCGCTTACTGCTTCGAGAACCGCATGTACGTTACTCCTTCTGAGAAACACATGCTTCTAAAAGTAGGTCACAGCATTTGACTGCTTTGCTGAAATGCATATTTTGTATTAACACGCTGGTATTTAGTACTTTTATGTTTCTCTCGATGAATCGCATTTGAAGTACTTAAAAACTATCCATGATGTACGATTTATTTTTTAATTTATGGCTTATATATTGTGCTGATTTTAATCGGCTATTAGTGGATCAAGGCGTATTGCACCAGTTATTCGCTTGCGTTACCAGTAGAGAATCAGAATATCTTCGAGATCCCTAATAAAACGGGACAAGTTGAAAGCTGGTAGTCTAAAAATCTTTTTTTTGTCGGATCACTTGCAGCGCCGTTTAGCGGGTTTCCTAATAAGTAATTGATGTGCATAGCCTCGTTGCGCGAAAGTCATAAGTCAACAGAATTAGTTTTTGTTGTCCAATGCATAAAACAGCTTAATGCAGCAACCCTGTTGAAGTTAAGTAACTGAATTTATTCCTGAAAGTAAACTTTGGAGAGTTGATGAAATGTACTACTGATTCTGTTCGGAAACATACCTCAGCTGAAGTAGCAGAAGGACGAGATATAGTCGATAAAAAATTGATTATTTTGTTGTCTGTCGTATCAGGTCACTATTTCAATTAAGCTCACTTTTGATTACTGTCCTGTCCTTTGCCCATTTAGCCGTTCCAACCTGTGGTTCTGGCTGGCATGGGAATTTCATAAAATAAAATATAAATAGAGTAATCATAAAGTAAGTATTTCAATTTTATAACTGTGTATCAATCTTTACAAAATTCATTCTTCCTAGGTTTCAGCGAATGAATGATTTATCGCTGGATTGATGGATGGTTTTCTGTAGGTTAGACCTCTACTCTCCGCTCTCTGCGTAAAACACTGGTAGTATAGCATGGCGGTCTACATCTAATTCATACACCATGAAAATGCTCACGACACAGTGGAGAGTGTTGCAGAAATACAGGATGCGTGAACA